CTCAGAGTAAATAATAGAGAGTTATTATCGTACGTTTTATTGAATAATCATCATCATCTTGTGACGATAACTTTAATGCCATTAAAGTTTATGTGGCCTGTCACAAGCGTTATTGTTGACTCGTAAAGATAACAACTGTGTTAGATGATGCTGTGCCAGTTATAGTATGCAGGACTTCACTGTAGCACATCCATCAAGGAGATATCCAGCGGAGTACTAAAATAGGCACCCTAGGCCTAAATACTTGGTTCTTGAAATTACAGTGTACTACAACAAAGTGTACAACAAATTAAGTGTACAACACTATCTGACTTTATAAATAAGTATTCGCCGGTTCTGATTGCTCAGTAGGTTTCAGTGGTAATTCTGCTGGAGCAGTTGGGTTAGGAAAAGTCGTCAGGTGTTTGGTGTGGTGACAGTGAAGGGCGACCGTTTTAGGGTTTAAGAAATCTAGGAAGGTGGCTTGATGACCGGGAAATATGAGAAAGGGCGGCTCTTGCGCCAGCATCATCATTTGTGTTATGGTATCGAAGGCTGGCCACTCGGGAATGGTTTGAACTGTAGTAAAAAGGAGAACGTACGACAGAATGAGGGGTGTCTTGTCATGATGTTAAGGACCGAAGAGAAGAGACTTACCGGACAACTAGGCTGATATTATAAATAAATAATTTAAGGTTCTGATTGGTCAGTAGGATTCAGTGGTAATTCTGCTGGAGCAGTCGTGTTAGGAAATATCGTCAGGCGGTTGGTGTGGTGATAGTGACAGGTGGCCGTTTTAGGGTTTAAGAAACCTAGGAAGGCGGCTCGATGACCAGGAATATACGAGAAAGGGTGACTCGAACGCCATCATCATCATCTGTGTCATGGAAGCGAAGGTAGACCTCTCAGGGATGGTTTGAGCTGTAGTAAAAAGGAGAACGTACGTCAGAAGGGTGTGCGGCTTGTCATAGTGTGTTAGATGTTGGTATTTTAGGAGAATTTAGGTTGTAGTAAAAACGAAAACTTTAGCAAAGTGGCTGCCGTTGTGATATATTATTGGATGTTGACAGCTCCTGGAGGGTTTGGGTTGAAGTAAAAAAGGAGGAATTTATGGCAAAACGGCGACCCTTGTGTTATAGCACCGATTGCCGATCACTCAGGGAGGGTTTGTGTTGAAGTAAAAAGGGGAATCTAAGGCAAAACGGCGACCCTTGTAGCATAGCAGCGAATGCCGGCCGATCATGGGGGTTTGAGTTAAGGTAAAAAGGGGAATTTATGGTAAAATGGCGACCTTTATGTCACAGCAACGAATGCCAGCCGCTCAGGGATGGTTTGAACTGTAGTAAAAAGGAGAACGTACAACAGAAGGTCGGGTGGCTTGTTATAGTGTTAGAGGTTGATAGCTTAGGAAAGGTTTGTGGTGCAGTAAAAAGGGAAACGTTAGCAAATTGGCGGCCGTTGTGATATATTAATGGAGGCTGGCTGCTCAGGGGTAGTTTAAGTAGTAGGGGGAAACATAGCAAAAGGACGACCGATGTATCAAAGTGACGGGCTCTGGCAGTACAGATATGGTTGAGCTATAGTAAAAAAATGAGAACTGTTGTGTCATATTTTTAGATATTACCGATCATGGAGGGATTAAGTTGTAGGTCAGAGGCGGCGCTACTAGGCGACGAATGAGGGCTAGGGCAATTTTAGGTGCCAAAAGGGCACTATATATTTCTCGACGGACAGCTTAAAGCACTCAAGAAAACGCACATGTCTTTCAATATTCTTGACAAGGCGATAACTGAAGACGCCGAGTAACCCGATCACTAGCCTTCGGGCTAGTGGTTGGTGCCCCAACCAAAGGTTGCTGCGTCCCGTCTCAAAACAGAGCTAGTAGGTCGGACAGCCCGTTGACAACCGTCGATCAGACAGTCTTCAGAAGGGACAAAATAGTTTGTAAGATAGCTTCTGTGCCGGTCAGGCTCGTCAAACAGCCCGTTAAATAGCTGATTATTGGCTAGAGGGGCAAAATAGTCTCCATGAAGAAAAGTTGACAAGACTTGTAACTGTATTGTCACTTATGAGCAACTAAGCAGATGACCCGCCGAAAACAGCCGGTCAGACCACTAGCTGAGCGGCCGACTCCTAGATCAGACAGCCAGACTGTTTTTCTAAATCGTCCCTTTCACTTTGTGAAAATTCGCACAGTCATGTATGGTACCACCCTAGAGGCGACTATAGGAAACAGCTTCGTTGGCCAGCTCGTCAGTGGGACGCATTGTTTATTAGCCGGAGACGACAGCCTTCTTGAAGAACCCTCGAAAAGCTTTGTGAGTTTACAGTAAGACAACCTTTCCTGTAACACAACCTGGTAGACGATCCGGGTAACAGGACTGGACATCTAATTTTAAGGGCGACTAGTTGGTTAGCTGCGTTTGTACAAACACAGTAGAAGGAAAAGACATTGCGCCTCTTAAAGTGGTCAAGTGGTAAAAGATATCGATCGCTTTAAGTTGTATTAAGAAAAGTGGGACTGTTTTGAAGCCCCTTGATATGCCCAGTGAAACAAAACATGTTAGTAAGAATAGCGATACTTTTGTCACAGTGTCGTTTTTGTCTTTTGTAAAATTCGCCCTGTGTTTCTTAAAATTCACCTTATGTTGTATAAAAAGTTGCCTCATGCTTCGTCAAAGTCGCCCTCTTGTTTCTAACCGTTGTCTTGTATTTTCTACACTTCGCTCTCGGGTTTCTAAAAAGTCGCCTTCTGGGTTCTTAAAGTCGCCTTATATTTGTTATCATTTCTTTGTACTGACTAAGACGACTACAGTCACTATTACTTGCTTTGACATTGTTTTCTTCGTGAAATTGATTTGCCTGGCCACAAAGTTTGATCGCATATCTTTGGATTTAAAACTTTGGTTGTCTTGATGAGTTTCGTGGGATCAATAGCTGGGGTAAGTTTCGCATGTTTTAGTAATACGTGTATCTTTACATGTCTTAAAAGTTGCCGGAGTAAGTGAGTATACTTAACTGTGGCTCACTCTTGCTAACAGCAAAGGCCACAACAGAGGTGTCCACTTAACCCGTGGATACCCAGTCCCGGAAACTGAATTTGTCTGGTGCATGTTCCCTATCCTATATAACACTCAGAGGTATCACTGAGATTTTCCCTTCAGCAAATCAAAAGGACATGACAGAATCTTTATTCTAAACTTCTTTAGGTGAGGAAATATTCTTAGCTTTAAGGGTTGCTTTCAAGTAAACGTTTGATAATGTGTAGAAACGGATTTTAAAACTTCAGTTTGGAACTGAAGGCCTCACTTCATACACAAGTGAAACGGTAATGATTTTCATAGTAGTGTTGTTCTGCGTAACTATATTTTTTTTTCCTTTCTAATATATGGTTAAGTAGAGGCTCCTGCTGCTGAAGTGGCGTAGATTTATATACAGATAAATCAGTATTCTGCTATGCTAGAGAACACAACATCCCAGTAAGTGCACGTAAGTGCACTGACAGCAGACATGTCAATGTCACAGGCAGAGACATGATATGTCCAATTTGTCGTCGCTGGCACTTTCCGTCTTTCCAGACGATAGTCTTATATTGTGCTATGAGGATTCATGGTAAACACAGCCCATGGCTATAGCGTGTGGGACTAGCAAGACCCGTCAGCGTCAAAAAAAAAAAAAATTGTCGAAAGTGTCTCACACTGTCAGAGGCAACCTGTGATGCTTTCCTCTTCGCTAACAAATAAGGACGTAAAACCCGTAACTGCTGTCTGAAGATTTATTTCCGAGACCAAGGGATGTTTCTCCACTCCATAGCACAAAACCTGGGCTGTATTGTAGAGACCATGTGTTGCATTATGCCCTATTAAACAGTCTAGACTAAATGTTGTTTGTTTAAAGCCACAGCAAGCGTCTAGGGATTATACTGTTTAAGGAACAACAGATCTTACCTACCTTCCAACATAAACGTACATGGGTACACGCACAAATGCAGTAGGAAAGGCCAGAAGACGACAAGACCTATACAGAAATCTAGCACATGCAAGCTGAAAAGTAGGGGGGAGGGGCGCCATGAATTTACAACTAGTGAAGAAGGCGCAGCTTAGTGTTAGTAGGAGTATGTCTGTGGTTTAAAAATTATAGTAACATACTGGTGGTGCTATGAAGGAGCTATGATGGTGCAACCTGCGGACGTCTAGGTTACAGAAGGAAATGCAAGCGAAGTTACAGCTGTGGAGGATGCAAAATGAAAGAATGAAATCTAAAAGATTGACAGAACAAGCAACGTAAATTAGGGGGTTCGGGGATAGTAATGAGTGATTGGGATGGATAATAATCAGTATGAATTTTCCGCAGGCCCTAAGAGTTATAGAAAATGAAACTTATTGTGCTCCGAAGAAGCTATGATTGAGCTATAGAAATGTTCTTATGGTGCTATTGGTTACATAGTAAAATTTACAAAATGATAAACCAAGGGATGTAAGTTACTGAGGAGTAAGGGGAAAGGAGAAAAGGGAAAACAAGGGGGGGGGGGCGGGCTGATTGTCTTGCATGATACATCTGCATAGCCACGTATTTTTGGGGTTTCTACTCCAGTAAAATCATCTTTCATTTTCCCTATAGGTTGTTATTGGACTCGTCTGAAAAGAGTTGGGGAGGAGGTTGGGGAGGGGGGGGGGGGGGGGGACATTACCTTGCTTTCAAACCAGATTTATTTGAAAAAGATCTGCCTTTCTATCTTTGTATGTTACTATATTATAAGTCTCCTTGACTCAGTCAGTAGCCAATCCCTGGCTCCAACAAACTGCATAGACTTGCATCGAAGCCTTGTGAAGCACGCCAGTCCCGTCTTCGGGGTCAAGAAAGGAGACCTATAACCAACTTCTCATGGAAACAGCAGATGTACCTTGGTGTGGCTTCTGCGCTGGAGGACGGAGCACTATGGGAATGCCCAATATACAGCGATGTTGATGGCGATAACACAACATTCACATTTTAATTATAAGGACGATTCACATACTCACGTATTTATAACCCTTTTCTTGCAAATGATGTGTGTACCCAGAAATGGCAGAGTACCAGCCCATAATCCTAATCCGTACACATGAAGATCCATTGAATCGAACCAAATCTGGAAAAACGAAATATATATGAACCTGACTGCTGAATAGAAAAGGACAAAGTAAGTGCTGTTTCTTTTTCTGTTCTACCATATTTATACTTTACGATTATTCTTACCGTGAAACTATGAAAGAGCACGTAAATGAACATCAAGCGTCAATATGGTATGTTCTATAAATAACAGATCACAACAACAACAAAATTTTTCGTGTTGTAAATTACTGCATTCTTTTCCTGTTCACGATCCATCTTTTGGGCATGTATCCTCAACTGTTCGGGATAGTTTTCCTAGATCAAACTAAGAGGAAGGTGATTGGGCTCATCTCCAGCTGTGAGTCCATTGACTGAAATCATTATCTGTATTGTGTGACTTGCTCCCATGGTACAGGGTATGGAATAGGTTTCAACGGTGATGTTCTCATGTGTAGATCTGCTTGAAACTGTCTTCTAAGTCTTTTCCCCTGATGGAACGTTTGAGACGCCCCAATTTCAGAACATCTAATGTTGCATTCACTGTTCATGACTGCATACTATTAAACTTTTCCATCTGGATCATAGTTTTAGTGGTTCTTCTAAATGACAATGTCTACACTGCAGTTATTTTCTACGTCTCTATGACAATAGTTTTCATGGATCCTGTAATGAGTCTAAGTGATGGATTTTGCATTTTGTCTAACAACTGTAGATGAGAGTTAGCGACTGACGACCAAGCTATTGCACCAAACTTCAAGAAAGTATTATCGCTTCATTATAAACTTTATTCCTTTAGCAAGGATGTTTCTAGGTGAATACAAGCAGCTTTGTCCCTGGGGGGAAAAATGAAAAAAAGCGGTGTTCGTGTTATGTCTGTGTTGACGGCAACATATAGCCGGTGTAGCGTAGTACTGGTTTTCGATCCGCCTCCTGGCCAACTATTTCCGACTTCAGGAACTCTTGAGCGGGAAAGTGGGCTCATACCTTCGCCTTTACCTCGTTTGTTGTCACATCCAGTTTCCCGCTAGGGGTTGAGACCTCAACCTTCTACTGACTGTATTGTTGGGAAGACGAATGGGGTCCCGCGCAAGAAGGTGAGATAGGCTTTAGCAAGAGAGGCTAACAGAAATAAACAGTCTTGTATTGCGCATCATTGCTCCACTAAGGCCCCAAGGTGTCTGAGCTTTTAAGTTCAGGTGCTCCTGGTACACCCCTCCCCTTTATTTTCACCTCTCACATTTAGTAATTATGGAGCCATGTAAGCAGCTGTTGCGGGAAGCTAGAAAGCAGCTAGAAAAAAAGTTGCTGGTTATGTTTTCCCGTTCCAAACAATATCAAAAGTGTTATTCGAAAGCAAACAAATAAAACTAGATCAATACGACTCAACAATCATTGGTGATTGAACCTATGTAGATAGAAAAAAAATTATTCAACAGTAAGTTTGATAGCTCACCTTGGACCGACTCATCAAATAATGCAGTGAGCTGCCTTGGAAATCCTCTGGTTGGGTCACAGGGTCACTAGTGTGTGTTAGAAACACGTTTAATAAACGGCCAGAGTTGGGGATAGCAATGTAACCGTACAAGATGAGTATCACTATCATCAGGGCAGTCACTGGCGCTAGGACGCTCATCACCTTGGGGGAAGATAGGATATATAAGCCTCAGTGTGTGAGAGATTAATGTGACCGCACTACACGATCAATGACATTGTCTATCAGTAACTAAGCAAGACCAGACGCGAGCAGTTTCGTTTGTGTTCCACGTACTACGACGACCCCTAAGATAAGCCAGTTATTTGTAGTCTTGTGTAAATGTGTGTCACTATTGGTGTGTTTATAATGTTAATGAAATCTGTTCAGCCTCAACGTTCATTTAGTCTTTGGTGATTGTGTGTTATTGGGAAGCTGACTATTTTCCTCAGGACTGCAGCAATACTTTTGTGAATAGTACCAATATTTTTTTTTTAAAATTGCACCAAGACATACCAAAAGATACCAATTTCTAAACACATGCCAGCGCGCGCGCACACATAAAACTGGCTTACGTTTAGCTGATCAGAACTGAAATGCTTTGTCGATTACACCATTGCTGTACCATTCCGCTTAGTTTGTTACAATGTGTAATTAATCTCCTGGAGAATTAAATTTGATTTCATCAATGAATTTATTGTTGAAGTTTTCAAAGAAGAGCGACTTAACAAATACAAAACTTAATTTTGTTAAGCAGATAGAAAACTCTTTCTATAGCTTCAGAGTAATGAGGTAATGCAAAAGATCAGGGCTAAGCTTTGGTACTAATTCAAAGCCTTTTTTTCCTCTCCACATTTTCCTTCTTAATTTATAAACTAACACTTCTCTTTTGTTTTCTTTTGTCTTTTTTTTTAAACATTAATTGATTGATCTTGCACTACTAGTTTCCTCAATTCTTTATTTATTTGTTCATAATGTTCTTCTTTGAAAAGGCTGGGATATTACATGACCATTCAATTGACCCTCAGTAACACTTACTGGATCTAGCGCCTCAGTTAAATGTCAGCTTTGCAAAGAATTCACAGAACAGAAAGTTGAGTTGAGTTGAGTCAAGAATTGACATCACAGCACTCGGGGCATTCCCATGCATGCTCCGTCCTCATCTTCAGCAGCCAGCGCTGAGTTCCAATACAGATGGTACCGGTCACAATCTGGTTAAAAGTCTGTCTTGCCTTTTCTCTGAGTGTAGTGAGCCGGCCAGACCCTCTGGTTACACCCAGGTACCCCATTCTCTCTCTCTCTCTCTCTCTCTCTCTCTCTCTCTCTCTCTCTCTCTCTCTCTCTCTCTCTAGGCCATAATAATCTTCTTTCTCTACTAATTCCTTTGCTTATTCCCAAAGGGCATTGACCACATCTGCTTTGTCGTGTATCAATTCACCACCGAGTGGTGCGGATCCAACCAATCTGTCTGCCTGTTCAAAAAAATCCAAAGTAAGCTCACTACCCGTGACCTTTCAAGTAAAGCTTGCCACTCTGCTCAAATTATCCCTATCTTCGATTTTTTTAGTATGCTTTCAGAGTCTGTTACAATTACGACATGTGTATGCATCTTGTTCTCTAACCACCAGAGAGCTGCAGTTACCGCCTCCACCCCTATTCTCATGCTAGATGTTGTGATATACTGGGCTGTCTTGCACTAAAGATTTTCCATTGGCTGTCGCTACAAACCCCGAGGCACTTCTCTTTCCTTTCAACACTGAAGCATCTGTATAGATAATCAGATCACCTGGGTGTGAATTGTCGTGACTTCAACTGTTTGACTTCAACCTCCGTTTCACCTGCTGGCCACTCTCTGCACACCCGACCCAATGTTATTAAAACCCTACACAGGTCAGACTTTTCCGCTGGTACTCTGACCCACTCCTCTCCTGGCCCAATGTTCTCCGGCATGCATACTTGTCTTATTGTGTCTTCTGATTGAGCCATCCACGATTTTCCCCTTCTCAGCCTCTGACCCTTGCCTGCGGCCAAGGCTTCATACAGAGGGTGTTCCCTGCCTGCAGCTACTCTGAGGTATGACTGAGCCTGCAGTGCCTTTAACCAATCTGCAATAGTCGGCAATGCAAGAATGTATCGCATACAACCGGGGATCAGCCGCATAGCTTCATTCTGTATGCGCTCCAGTTTCTCTAGCTGACTTTTTGAGACAGTGAGTAACCCCAATCCATAATCAATCACTGAGATGATTAGTGCTGGTAAAGTGTGAACAGCATTCTCTGCTCCATGTCCATTGCTGCCATAATCTTTAGTGCATTAAAACATTTTCGGGCCTTTGACACAACCACCTCTATTTTATCCATGAAAGGCAAGCTTCTGTCAAAGGTGATTCCCATGTACCGTAGTCTGCTGTTTCTCTTGATGTCCCTGCCATTTATTTTGAGGCTTGGAAACACCAGCTCTAACAATCATGTTCAAAGGACAACACATGACGGTTGCGTTTTCTGGGATGATTACAGCACTCATCTCTGTACACGTTTATTTTCAGTACACTTCCAATAACTTTAAAAAAAAAGGTCTAACACAGTGCCACAATTTACAATATTATTACAGTATTTATGATACATACAAAAACACTGGATATGATAACATGCACAGCTGCCTTAGAGAAATTTGTACGAAAGGGCTAATTTCGACAGAGCTGGTTCTACTTCTAGTCCCCCCCCCCCCCCCCCCCCCCCACAACTCCTTTTTTTTCGGCCACCTCGATGATGAGTATCAGTACTATCAGGGTAGTCATAGGTCGTAAAACGCACATAACCTGGTTAAGGATTGGTTGTAGGTGAGTCAGTCAAAAGGTGCGTGCAACATTTCTCTTGTTCAAGTTACAATAGGCCTATCATCTGTATCAAGTGCCTTGCCGACAATGATGTGTTATCATGCTTTTCTGCATCTTGTGATCCTTAACAGCGTGCATCAATTGTGTGCTGATACCTTTCTCTTCGACAATAAACTGTTTTCCTTAATCTTGCCTTCCTCTACCTCTCTTTTTCTCCTCACATGTTTCAGTTTTTATCTTGTTTCTGTTGTTTGTTAAAGCCGTACTATATAAACAAACTTTGCAGCGTTGCTTAACTCTTCTCGATCAGTACAGTTACAAGTTGTTGGGAGTAATCGATATTACAACGCTATTCACAGCTACAGAGCGTGAACGTATCGTTAGCCCGGTTTGGTGACGTCAGCAGAATGACCGTCAGCTGGAGCCGGTCTTGGACAAACCCTATCGAGATTTGAAAACTAATGGTATGGAAGAAGTAGACAACGTGGAGGAAATTAACGTCTTTGCTGTAAATGGTTCGGTAAAATGCTGCCGTATCCAGAGATCGTTTTACATCTCTCAAATGTTTGTATAAAATAAAGTCTAAGTCTATATATAAAGATCAATCCCGTCATCTCCTTGTGAGATGCAGTTTTTCGTTATTTTGAAGCCCTGCTCTGGCTCTTGCCAAGGGCCGCAATACAGATCGGCGATAAATATGGTATAATGGTTTCTGGGACCTCTCCACGGGTGATCATCATCCACGTGGTGGCACCTTGTGTCATCGGGTGTTTATCACTTGTGTGATGTCCTGGTGGAGTAAAAATCTACTACTATATATACAGATCGTCATCGGTGTATCGTTGTTCAGTTTAGCTTATAAACCTGGTAGCTAGCAAACAGCTAGAAAACTGTTCTATTCTCTAGCTGTCACTGTTACATACTACCTAATCCAAAAATAGACACGCAATTAAAACAACCGGGAGTTTTTACATCACGCTACCTAGCAACGCCATACTGACAATATTTCCTGACAAACAAACTACAGACTTGAGTTCACAGTAGGAAGTTCGTCTCGTGATGATTAAATTTCCCAACCGTTTTTTAAATATTCTATGGGACAAAGTTTTGATAGAGTACATCACAGTATAATGTCTTTTACACCAAGCACGACACAAAACCGTCCTTTTTAGGCCGGGGGCCGCAATATAGACTGTCCATAAATATGGCCTAATGGCTGAACCTGGTTTCTGTGACCTCTCCACTGTGATCCTAATCCAAATGGTGGCATTTTGTGTCATCGAGTGTTCATCGCTTGTGTGATGTCCTAGTGGGGTAGAAGAAAGTCAGTCAGTCAGTCAAGCTCGACACGATTTGACTGTTTTTATCGGCTGGAGAAGTCAGCTTGGACGTGATCTTGGTAGTTTCTCTAACGGTTTGTGAGGCATGGTTGCCCCTTGGCTAAAGAGAAGCGGTAAAGTACTGCTAAGGTAAAATGTCGGTACGGGTTTTCAAGTTACTCAGTATGCTTCAGTTGGAAGAAAGATTGTTGAAGAATTTAGAGATCACGCCAAGGAAGTGGAAAAGTAGTTACTTCAAAGTTCTGTTGACAACGTGGCCGGCAACCAATCAGGTTGCCGTCTTGGCAGAAGATATGCGGCGCGACCGGATTAACCGCCCAGTAAAACAATTAGCGTCACCCCACCTCGTCGTTGTCACAACCAAAGCCAAAGAAGAAAAAAGCCGAACTCCCATATTGCCAGTAAACGTCCGTAAATGACACAAAAAGTTAAAAAAAAAATTAAAGCATCCATAATTAGATCAACCTGCGGCTTCGTTTTTTTTTTTTCTTCCTTAGAATCATTTAATGCACCCATCCGCATGGATTTACTACCTATCTATCACATCACCTACTACTGTCCCTGCCTCCTCCCTGCTCCTAAAACTCGCGGGTGGTCTGCACCGCCTGCCCATCTACTCAGACGCACAAGAGCCTCACCCGAGCCGCTGACCTCAAACCCACGGAGCCTCACTGTGACCTACAAGTAGCCTATGACCTGAGCCTCATCTAAGCATCCAGGTGATCTTAAACTACAGGAGCCTCTGACCTTGAGGGGAAAAAAGTCACAGAAAATAATGTCAAATATGGAGGTGCTGCACCCGTCGCTCACATATACATCTGATCATTTCTGCTATGTCGTCTTATAACAACACTGTGTGCGTAGTGAATTTTTTTTTGGGGGGGGGGGGAGTGGGGGGCAGGGCCATGCTTGCGCACACATATACACATACGTATATGATACAAGCACATTGTTATGACTGTACCTTGTGGCACTTTGCCCTTCTGCTTCTCTGGCGTATAGCGATGTCAGTAATTTCCTTAATTTGGGAAGTATTTAATAAGGAGGGTGTTCTTGTTAGGGATTTCATTACAGAATACTCGAGATGGTTCTCCAGGTTAAGTCTAATTCGGTAACTTTAATATAAACTGACATTTTCAACAAACAGATCTCTTGCTTTTGCTTTCCATACCATTTTCAGTGCCAGAATGTTTTGCCTCTCTGTTTTATCGTTAGCTCAAACTCACAATCCCTTACAAGAACTCGGTCTAGAGCTCGTGACATTGTCAGGTTTTAAGGCTTGTCAAAAAATCATTAACAAGGCCATTTCGAAGACCAGCACACAGCCATGACTCATCCAGTCCCGCTGTGGTCCTGCACGGGTTCAATGAGGAAATATCGGTGGAGAGGAGGGCTCGACTGGATGAAGCACTCGAGCCTGCTAGACAAGTTGATTGCTTTGTGCCACTGGCTCATTACCATGCCATGCCACCGATTGAACAGTGCCTCGTTTGCAAGCGAACTTGCCGGCACTTAGAATTGTCTCTGTTTTGTGCGGGATAACCGGAAAGCTCATTTCAGTATTATTGGCGTTGGCGAGAAAAAAAAAAAAGGGGGGGGAGGGGGAGTAGTGGGGGGAGGAACAGCCGTAGCGATTCTCACAGAATGGAGCAGGGGGGGTGTAGTGGGGGGAGGAACAGCCGTAGCGATTCTCACAGAATGGAGCAGAAACCCCATGGCTGGTAGGAGACGATGATCGATGGCGTCAACCTTGACTTCTGTCAGTTAAACAACAAACCAGCTCACTGGCGGCGATAGGAATTCACATATTCGTATTCAATAGTTGTCATTCATCATTAACTAATTCCTTTATCAATAGTTGTCATTCATCATTGACTAATTCCTTTATCAATAGTTGTCATTCATCATTGACTATTTCCTTCATTTTCAGCCAATATGATTTATTTGTATGTAATTTTAATATACATTGTACGTTGCATTAATATACAAGGGATGTATAAATATATGTAGAATGTTATAATAATATCATGTTCTCATTGTTTACTTGTAAATTGACCCACGTGCGCACGCGCTCGCACACTCATTGTTCATTGTTTAGATCATCTTCATTGCACATCGGACATGACCATAGGTGCCCCAATCTCCTCTTAAGTATGTTTTCAATTGTGTTTAGGCTAGCAACTCCCATTCTGTTCGAGTAGATGGCTCCTGTATGGTTTTTCTGTTGCGCAACTCCAGCTGGTAAATCCAGAGTACGCAGTCTATTTAGTGAAAAATCATTTTTATAAAACTGAAAGCCTCACAGATTTGAGGCTCTCGTATGGTATTGATGGGATGTCCATAGAGGTCCATTCCTTATAGTAGCACTTCCAGCCACAGCGTCTGCTGTCTCATTTTCTTTCACACCCGCATTCCCTGGGACCCAAAAAAAAAAAAGGTGATTTTGAGAAACGCTTTGACACAGCCATGACCTCCATTGTCCTGCTGCTGGTTGTAAAAGCAAAAGCTCCATTATCTTGTTTCATTACTTTCCTCTGGGTTCTTGCTCTGAAAGCCCATGCACTTCACTTCTGACAAATCACAAAATCATGTGTATACCTAACAGCATCTTCAGGTGATGTGTTTTCCTCCACCAATGCTTTCACTTCTGCATCAACTATTGGTGGCGCCAAATCACAGCACTGTCTTACCACAAAGTATTGCTTGCATTCATTTGGTTTGGGTATCCGTTCTTCTCCACAGTTTATGTCAGGAAGCACACACTCATACTGAATGCGCCGGAACCATTGAGCTCAGGTACCTTACGCCATGTCCAATTTTAGATGAGACTGGAGTCCCACGCCCTCCCCTCCCCCGCCCGAATAATTATGAATGGTGAATAAGAGGTCCCCCTCCGTGCAGAAATGTGTAAATGTCCCGACCCCATGTTGGACGACTTTTTCGCTATTTTGAAGCCCCAGCCAGGTTGTTGCTGGGCGCCCTAATATCATCTGACGGTTGAACGAGGTTGCTGGGACCTCTCTAGGGGTGGTCCTCATCCGAATGGTGGCACTTATGTCACCGGATGTTTACCGCTCAGTGTGATGTCCTAGTGGGGTACAAAAAGTCAGTCAGTCCCGTACAGAAATTCTCATACCATGTCAGTTATTCTATATTTGCCATATAGCACAATAATAATAATACTATTATGGTGAACGAAAAACGAATATAATAATATACTTGAAAAAGCATGACACTAAAAAAATACTTGTAACAAGAATTTCTATACACTTTTACAGAGGCCTCTTAGCTCCCTTACAAAATATGTATGTATGTATGTATATGTATATATATATATATATATATATATATATATATATATATATATATATATATATATATATATACATTTATGTGTGTGTGTGTGTGTGTGTGTGTGTGTGTGTGTGTGTCAGAAACATGATGTACTTACTTTGATGAACCCAAGAGATCCCCTCATTATAATTAGATAGACCAGAGCCCACACCAGCAGTGCACACAGCACCAGGTACCACAACATTGGGCTCCAATTGCCGAGATGGTTGGATCTTTGTAAGAAGTCACTTCTGAAATATGAGCAGAAATTCTCAGGCTTAACCTTCTCACCAAATAAATATGTGCAATAGGTTTGCTGGATCTGCTATCACTACCGACGGTCAGCCTATGGACCATGCTGATATTATTAATGCCCTCAGGGAAATGGGAAGGATAGAGGACTTTGGGGACAGTGGATCCACATCACTCGCCAGAATGGCAGACGTGGGAATTAAGATCGGCATAGCAAAAAACGAGACGCACACCAGAAGACTTGTTAATCAACATAGAACTGGTACTATTAGCCATCGGACGTTGGGGTTCATACTGAGGGGAGGATGTGAGCACCTATGGACATGTCCGGAGTGCAATGATGATAACCCAACTAACCAACTACTAAATATGTTCAAATAATGCAAGTTTCTGGTGAGTATTCTTGTATGCATCGAGACAAGTGCTGGTTGAAGACTGGTTGGCTGATTAACTTTGTCAGTACCCAGCAGATTTGACTTTAGATGGGTTTATTCTAAGAAGCTGTACATTTAACCGATATATTTTGTTTTTTGTTTTTAATTATAAGATCATGGACAAAACAAGGTTGAAGTAGCAACAGGGGTAGAATGATTAAACAGCGTTAAAAGAATATGGTTAAGCATCATCAAGGAAATCAAACTTAAAATGTTCATTGCAGCAACATACGCATGTGAGTTGTGGAGTGACTCCCAGTCCTTAATAAAGAAAATATGGACCTTAGAGCTGGTTGGTATTCTTATAATACCATGGACAAAAAGATCTGAACATAAAGTACGACTGTCTAATAAACAGGATCTTGTCTCGAAAACTGGGATATTTTGGCCATATCAAGCACCACATTGGAGAAATTATTGATTTGTATCATGTGCTGACAATCCCCAAGATGGGCACATGATAAAAGTGACTCCTTGGATGTGAAAGTGCGCGAGGCTAGATAAGTCAGATGAGAAAATCAAAGTTTTATAGAGGTAAATTTGTGCTATGTAAGCTAGATGAGAACATTTAATGCCAGGTAAGTCAGCTCAGAACATTTGTGCTATGCAAGCTAGATGAGAACATTTAATGCCAGGTAAGTCAGCTCAGAACATTTGTGCTATGCAAGCTAGATGAAAACATTTAATGCCAGGTAAGTCAGCTGAGAACATTTATGATACGTAAACTAGACGAGAACATTTAATGCCAGGTAAGTCAGCTCAGAACATTTATGATATGTAAGCTAGATGAGAACATTTAATGCCAAGTATTTCAGCTGAAAACATTCAAGTTGTTTGAAAGGTAATTTAGAACACATAGTGCTATGTAAGTTAGCTGAGAAGACTCAAGTTGTAGAGAAGTATAGTTTGAACATTTAGTGCTAGGTAAGTCAGCTGAGAACACTTAGTGCTTGGTAAGTCAGCTGAGAACATTTAGTGCTTGGTAAGTCAGCTGAGAATATTTAGTGCTTGGTAAGTCAGCTGAGAACATTTAGTGCTTGGGAAGTCAGCTGAGAACATTTAGTGCTTGGTAAGTCAGCTGAGAATATTTAGTGCTTGGTAAGTCAGCTGAGAACATTTAGTGCTTGGGAAGTCAGCTGAGAACATTTAGTGCTTGGTAAGTCAGCTGAGAATATTTAGTGCTTGGTAAGTCAGCTGAGAATATTTAGTGCTTGGTAAGTCAGCTGAGAACATTTAGTGCTTGGTAAGTCAGCTGAGAACATTTAGTGCTTGGTAAGTCAGCTGAGAATATTTAGTGCTTGGTAAGTCAGCTGAGAACATTTAGTGCTTGGGAAGTCAGCTGAGAACATTTAGTGCTTGGTAAGTCAGCTGAGAACATTTAGTGCTTGGTAAGTCAGCTGAGAATATTTAGTGCTTGGTAAGTCAGCTGAGAATATTTAGTGCTTGGTAAGTCAGCTGAGAACATTTAGTGCTTGGTAAGTCAGCTGAGAACATTTAGTGCTTGGTAAGTCAGCTGTTTTTCCCAACCTGGATGAAGAAATTACCAACCCTCCACTAGATGCCTCCTGTGAGTCATTCACAACTGAAGAGATTAAACCAGCCATTAAAAAAATTGAGAAACAACAAAGCTGTTGGTGATGACGACATCTCCGGAGAAATGCTTAAAGCAGCAGTCGAGAATACTTTACAGCGTTTGCTAGAGTTGGTTGGCGAAATCTTCTGACAAAACCACAACAGTGGAAAAATGGTGTCAAACTGCCCCAAAAAGGTTATTTGTCTGATTGTATTAACTGGCGTGGTATCACTTTGCTGTCAGTGCCAGGAAAGTATTTGTGTAGCATGTTACTTGAGAGATTGAAAAAGTCTAAAGATGAAAGGCTAAGAGAAGAACAAGCACGATTCAGATCAAAACGGTCATGCGTAGACAACCATTATAATAATCACTGAAGAATTTATAGAATTTCAGTCGCAATTAATTATCAACTTTTTCGACTTTTAAAAAGCCTTCGACAGTATCTACTGACCTACACTTCGACAGTATCTACTGACCTACACTTCGACAGTATCTACTGACCTACACTTCGACAGTATCTACTGACCTACACTTCGTCAGTATCTACTGACCTACACTTCGACAGTATCTACTGACCTACACTTCGACAGTATCTACTGACCTACACTTCGACAGTATCTACTGACCTACACTTCGACAGTATCTACTGACCTACACTTCGACAGTATCTACTGACCTACACTTCGACAGTATCTACTGACCTACACTTCGACAGTATCTACTGACCTACACTTCGACAGTATCTACTGACCTACACTTCGACAGTATCTACTGACCTACACTTCGACAGTATCTACTGACCTACACTTCGGATATTACTTCGGAATGTCCCTAAAGCTGTGATGTCAATTCTCAACTCAACTCAACTCTCTCGTAGGCCACATTCATCAGTCTAACACTACACAAATTTAGTAGCACTCACTCATACATACACAAACACAAACACGACCACGTGCGCACACATACACACACACAAAGCATACTTTTAGTCGGGTGCTGCATAATGAATTGTACTTGTTACTTCAATCATTTCTACTCATCATGCCGTTACGAAGAAAGAGAAATATAACGCATGCTGTAGTAAATGATTGAAAACATCATCAGAAATCAAAGCAGAATATACTCGCGCCACGGGAGAGATTCATTGACCCTATGAGCTACACATGAGTATTCTGAGAAATAATGGAAATTCTTGGCACAGAGAAGAAGAATCTTGTGTTTGTCAATATAAATAATCAATAATATCAGCCTAAGGGCCAACAGGAAGAAATAGCTGCTCTCGTGGTTTACAGCATCACTTCACCATAATTAGCCGAAGTGTCGCTTTTCCTTGAGTTTTTGGAAGTTGTAGCCACAAAAGTTCACAGTTCATCTGAAGCATATGTAGCCATACACCCACTAGGTGTCGAAACCATATGGCACTATGGCGTCCGGGGCAGTTGTTTTTATACGATTCTTTTGAATGTAAAATGATTTCGTTTCAGTAACTGTTGTCTTGCCTCCAAAGCCGACCTAGCCTTATATGGGTACCAGGTAAATTCATAGGAAGTTAAGACGGTCCGCGTGATATTGACCACATTATAAATCTAGTGCCGATTGGTCTATAAAATATATGTCTAGCCCTATACGTTTGAAGCCGGTATGCTGATTATGCAACGTTATTTCGGCACAACGCTACAAAATAGATTGCAGACACCTGCAGTACAACCTGCAGTCCTACTTCAACTGACAACAATGAATGACTTGCATCAGAAAATATAATCTCTTAGCTTTATAATCTCTTAACTGTTTGCCATGATATCACAGTCAATAGGTGACTCGCTTTAAAATCCAGATGCGACTCGCTGCAGCCCACGGCCGGTTTTCGAAACCAGGCGGTTCCCGGGATTCACACAGCCTCTAGGTAACGGGTACCAGAGTTAACACTCTGGGATTAATATAGGAACGTCGCTGAAGCTACAGAGTTTCGTGCGGACGGCGACACAGGCGGACAGTTTCTTATCAGCTGTCCAAACTGGTGGCAGAGTCTTTACTAAAATAAAAGGGCGTTTGAAGTATCAAGTACAGGAGTAGCAGAGAAAGTGTTGAAAACCCTATTTTCCTCTTTCATATGTTGAGTAAGGGAATTATACTCATAATTATTACTTAGTTTTCCATATTTAACACTAAACTCTTCCCATCTATTGGATATGACAGTACTTTTCCGGGTGTTGGAGGGGGTGGGGGGGGGAGGGGGGAGGCGCTGCAATATTTTAATTGGAAAGGGGTGCAGACTAAAAAAGTGTTGAAATTTAAGGAAACCACTAAAGGTGTTTGAATTACCCATTAGCCAGCGTGCTCTTCTGAAAGGCCCAAGGAATGTTTCCGAATTCCCAGTGAGGAAAAGCTACATTTAATTGATTTCAGCTCCGTGTCGACCAGGAATTAAACAAGAGAAAGTGCTCCTGCTCTTCCTCCTAAACCTCATCCTCCTTCTTCTTCTTCCTCTTCTTCTTCTTCTTATTATTATTCGCGTTTACCGGCTGTAAACTGCTATTGATTTAGAACCAAATGTTTATAAGACCAGATGTTGATAACAGGACCAAATGTTAATAACTGAATCAAATGTTGATAACAGGACCAGATGTTGACAACAGAAACAGAGTCTTGATAACAGGACCACATTGTTGATAACAAGGCCAGATCTTTATTACAGAAGCAGATGATGATAACAGGACCAGATGCTGATAACACGAGCAGACATAAACGTCTTCCTCTTGATAAAAGATTCCGATATGCTTTGAAGTTCCAAAAACTGTCACAAGTAGACTGTTGTGATTGTAGGTCAGTAAGTTGGGGGGTGGGGGGGGGGGGGGGGGGGGGGGTAAAGTAAAAACGTTTTCCTGCGTGTTGCGTGCCCATCCGTTTTATAGATCTGACCTGACTCATGTGTATGCATAATGTTAGTTGGTTGCCTCTCAGGCAGATATAAGACTTCAAAGGAAGCTCTCAATCAGTCGATACTTACAACATTCGTTTGGGTAAGCAGTGGGTCTATTCATGTTTTCCCTATAGTAGAGCCCAGGAATCCACACTAGGATTATAGTGAACTAGAATGG